CCAAAAGGCATAATATTAAACTCATAAGTTCTATGCTGAATAATAAATGCTGTTTTCTTTTTATCTTTTTCTTGTACTGCAACTTGCCAATATCTACTGGCCAAATCCAAGCTTGTAAACTATTGAGCTCCTTCAAAGACAGATAGGATTTCATTAATATCAAGAAGAGGATATATATCTTTTGTTGTTACTGCATTTAACTTTTGGTAGTCAATACAAATTTGACATTTTTCATTCTTTTTGGGTACAATAACTACTGGTAAGGATCATAGGCTGTTTGATTCTTAAATAATTCCACATTTTTCTATTTTTTTAATTTCTTTTTCCAAGAACTCTAAATTGTCTGGTGATGCTCTGTAGACTCGTTGTTTAATCAGTTTAGCACCTGAAGTATTAATTTCATGGCAAACTTCTTTGGTTTGTCCCAATTCTAAGGTTTGTCCTTCCTCGGAAATATTTTTAGCAAAGATTTGGTGGTTGTTTAGAAGAATTTCTTTAGCTTTTTCTCTTTGTTGTCCATTCAAAGAGTATTAACAGTTAAAAGAGGAGTTGTAGGAACTTCAGCAGTTAAAGCAACATATACTGCAGGGTTGTTGTCAGTAACAACATCAATCCAAGGGTTGTAGAATAAGGGTCATCATCATCTTGGTCTCCTTCTTCAGTATGGTAAGTTTTTGCTTCATCTTGTTCTTCAATTTCATCAATCCATTTATCTTTATCTGTAAATTCTTCAAATTCATCAGGTATTGGCTCTTCACTAACATGGGTCATATAGATAGTAGCTCTTTTTCCCAAGTATTTAATTTTTAGAGTATAGTTATCAAAGTCCAAAATGACTCTGGATTTTGTAAACCAATCTGTTCCTAACAAGAGAGTTTCATCTTTAGACTCAATTACTTGCAAATTAATAGGAATTGCAATATTTTAGAATATGATATTAATATTACTAATCAATCTTAGAGCTTTTTCTTTAGCTCCATTGGCAGTTACTACAATAGTTTTAGATTCTTTAGTAATATGTAATCCTAGTCTTTGCATTAGCTTCTTGGTAATAATACTAATAGCAGCACCGGAGTCAAGGATAGCAACTACTAGTTGTCCTTTAATATTGACATGATATCTCATAGCAACAGTTTTCTTTGTTGGACCCAATTCCAAGTGGTTAGCTTCAGTAGTTACAACAGTTTTTCTTTTCATTTTCTGGGCAAGATTTTTATGTTAGTTAGAATATTGCAATAGTTGTCCGTAAGTAGTTTGAGCAGGTCGATTTAGCAAATCTTTTGCAATATCATAGGGTTCAAGTTGGTCAATTATAGAAAGTAATTTCTTTGCTGGGCTTCTCTTTGCTTTGGTTGCTTTGGTATTGGCTTGGGAAGTTCAATAGGTTCAGCTTCTATTTCTTCAGATTCGATATTAGATTCAGTATAGATGGTTCTATTCCTTAACTTCATTTCTTTTTAAAATTCAGATTGTTTCTGGGCTTCTTTTTGAACTTTTCTGTTTTTTTATATGGTTAAGGTCTGGGTGCTCTTATAATATAAACTTCTTCTTCCTTAGTTGAGTAGTCTTCTTCTATAGCTGCATAGTTAATCTTTCTTTTAGTTAAGAGTTGGCTATTCATTTAATATCTTTGTTCTTGTATAGGAAGATATTCTGACATGCAGTCTCTAGCATAGTGTCCTTTTTCACCATATCTAAAACAGGTAATATAGGATCTAAAATTATTGTTATTATTAGGGTACAGGACGGGCCAGGTCTAACCTGAATTTTTGCGGGTTGGGTCAGATTGGGCCTGAGATTGTGCCCAAATTTTAGGTCTACTATAAATTAGGTTGGGCTTGGGCCAAGCCTAATAAAGTATCGAGTTGAGTTCAGGTTCTGTTCATTGACCCGTCAAAGTCTGATCAACTTATAGTATTATACAATGATGTGTTGTTAGAGCTAAATTAAGGGTAGGAGGAGTTATAAACTAAACTTATTACCAAAATTTATAAACATTTTAATGCTTTGTGTTCTGTTTCATGAAATTATTAAATATTCGGTTGTTCATCTTTGAATTAGAGAGAAATATCTGTATATAACTAAGAATTGTTCTGAAACTGAGATCAGACCAAGGTTGGAGTTAAAATATTAATGAACTAGTCTTATCAGAAACCAGAGCAGATTAAACTGTGGGGATCCTAACACTGAAAAAAGTTAGCATTAGCATTAGTATAATTATTAATATAAAACTCAATAGCAATAGAATCTTGTATGTATATACGTATGTAATATAAATATAATTTTTTCAATTGTATTTAAAATATTCTGATTTCTCAGATCAACAACCTTTAAGCCTATTTAGAATAATACATACCAAATTAATACAAATTAAAAACTTGTAGATCTTTACAAAATAATTTCATATGACAGGATCGTGCTACCCAATAAGATCAAAAATTTTGTACACAGTTAGTTGGCTGTAAATTATATACTTCATTTCACTACTTTTCTGATATATACTGTTGTATCTAATTATTAGTTGGCAGCAAAGCCGCTATATGATTATATACTAGTTATACATATGTAAAATGATCAGGTTGGTTAGGTTAGGTCAGGTTTTGGATTAACCTGACCCGACCTAGGCATAACCTGTTGTAAAATTTTTTATCAGGCTCGGGCTTGGGTCAGGTTTAAACAGGTCTGAGTCAGGTTTATATAAACCTGACTCGATCTAGCCCATCCTGTACCCTAGTTATTATTAAATCTAGGTCAGAATAGGCCTGGGGCTAGG